AAGAGTGTGGCCAGCAGAACCAGGGAAGTGATTGTCCCTCTGTACTCAGCACTGGTGAGGCCACACCTCAAATCCTGTGTTCTGGCCCCCTCACTACAAGAAAGACATTGAGGCACTGGAGTGTGTCCAGAGAAGGGCAATAAAGCTCATGAAGAGTCTGGAGCACAAGTCTTATGCAGAGTGGCTGGGGGGACTGGGGTTGTTTAGCCTGGAGAAAAGGAGGCTCAGAGGAGACCTTGTTGCTCTCTACAACTACATGAAACAAAAGTGTAGCAAGGTAGGGGTGGGTCTCTTCTCCTAGGTAACAAGGGACAGGATGAGAGGAAATAGCCCCAAATAGCATTAGGGGAGGTTTAGATTGGATATTAGGAAAAAAATGTCTTCAACTGAAAGGGTTGTCAAGCTTTGGAACAGGCTTCCCAGGGAAGTGGTGGAGTCACCATTCCCAGGAGTATTTAAAAGACGTGTAAATGTAGCACTGAGGGACATGGTTTAGTGTTGAACTGAGCAGTCCTGGGTTAATGGTTGGCCTCAATGGTCTTAAAATTCTTTTTCAACCAAAATGATTCTATTACTCTATTACATTGATGTCCTAAAAAGGGAACTAAATATAAGACCAGAAAAAAAATTCTCTTAAGGAGCTAAGTACAGTAGCTTAATAAAAATAATAATAAAAGAAAAGGAAAAAGTTAAAACTGGATATTTGCGCTAAGTTATTTTCAAGTATTCATAAGACAATCCACCGAAGCACAGGTATGAAAATTCCTGTAAAACCTCTCCTCATGCCCCTAACATATGCTCATCCAACTACATGCATCAGCTTTGTTCATGTTTTATGTTGCTATTTAAGTTGCTTTATTACTTTGGGGTATGCAAATGTTTGCCTAGGGTTGTTCTACAGATGCTAAAGGGAATACACAGAACATGGTAGTGTGTTTAGAGTCCTCCTTTCCCTTTTTACTTTAATGAGGTATACTAGCATGTGAACAGATGGCAATTTGAACATGTTGAGATTACCAGTGAGTTCAGAAAGCTGAGGAAGTACTATGAATGACTGCAAAAATAAATCATAAGGCTCACAATTACATGAATATTGTAACTACATTTATGCTTATGGCATAGATTGGATTTAATTCAAAACAGAAAGCCAACCTGCAGAGTTCACCGGTTTTGAACTGCCCCTGCCTGCTTCCCTGCCATAAGAGACAATTTGGGGGTTTTCTTTTCTATGTATTCTGATAGCTGAAAGCAAAGTCTGTCTCCTTTCTCCTATTTCTGGCACCACCTTTCTCCCCACCCTCCAACATTTTTGTTTCACTTTTATCATATCAAGCCACTCAAACAAGTTCAGCATGGAGGCAGTTGCTCCACAGAGGGAACCTTGCTTTCAACCTCCATGTTTGAGACCACAACAATGGATCTCCCAACCTCAAAAACTCTCCTTGAGGCAAAGGAATGTTTTGCATCAAGAGAGAATGCCCCAGGAGCTTAGCAATGGCTTTGTGGGAAGAACAAGAAAGAACCATTTTTGTTCTATTTATTTGTAAAAAATACAGTATACATATTCAAGCATTTTTCATGAGCCTGAAGGGTAACAGATTTCAGAGTATAATATCTGCTCAAGGGCTTTATTTTAATGTAACAACAGATGGTTTTGCTTTTACTATAAAGCCTGTACTATTACTGACCTCGTCTTTCTCTTCAAAGGGATTACACTGATTAGATATAATTTTCTCTTCTAAATCAGACTGCTGCTTCTCAGAAGGAAGTGGAAAGGCGACCTTGCCTGAAGCAGCCTCTGAGGTCGGAAGGTACAAGGGGGTTTACTTTGCATGTGGATGCAGGGAAGGAGCAATGACTGCACTGCCCAGGGAGGCAATCAAGTTCCTCAGCTTTTCACTCTTCACTTTCCCAGCATAATTCATTCCTCAAACAACCTTAAATTATATGAATACTTAAAATATGCTTTTAATCAAGAAATGAAGGGTATGTTGCACAAAGCAGGCATCATGACAGCAACTCAAGAACCACTGAAATTAGTGATGAAATGCCACCTCGATCTCAGTGGTGCTGGGATTTTGCACACCCAAAGCAAGGCTACTCACCTCTCTTTTCATCAATGGTAGATACTGCCTGGATTAAAAGTGGTGCGTTGGATTCTGTATACTCCACAAACACCAGCAGCAGCTTCAGTGCTGTCTTTACCACCAGGCGAAACTGGAAGAAAAGAGTGTGACTTGTCATTCTGCAAACCACAGCATTTCCATATGTGTGAAATGACACTGGGCAAGATGCAAGCGCAGCAGTCCACATCTGGTAATAACACATGAATGGAAGAGATTAAGCTGTAACAGCACTGAAAAAATGAAAGATATCCAACTGGCTGAAAATGTTATTCACTGGACAGTGCTCTGCTAGGGAAGTCTCAAGAGTCAATGAATCCAAATGAAAGCTTAACCCTGCCACATGTAACAAAAGGTTGAACATCCCACCTATGCATATCCCCAGCATTGCTGTCCAAAGCTTGATGTACACAAACCCTATTGAGCTAAGAAAGCATATATTTCTCAACACATTTATTTCCTCCTTTTGCCGTGAGCCTTTAATCCCATCAAAATGCTCTATGATGGGATGATTTTCTCCTCATGCTTTCTTGCCTTCTTATAATGTTACTGTTTAATGCTTAAAATATTAAGTACATCAATCTTCACTATTAAACATAACCTAGGAGGAAGTATGTTTAATCTCCAACTATCCCACCTTGTCATGAAATGTGTGATTTATTGGACCTGAGCATTCTGCCTGCAAGTTTTCAAAAGCAGCTTTTTGTGCATCCCCCAGAGTGAAAGTTCATCAAAGACTCAGCATCGGTAAAATGGATCTACTGGAAATCAACAGCCAAACTCTATCAATTTCATCACAGATCTCCTAACTCCAGAGAGGACCATCTGACTATTAGATAATTCGCGAAGTGCGGAGTAAGAATTTTTAGGGATGACCAGGTATGATTGCCTGGCATGATCAGGTATGTGAAAAAACAACTCTTTACTTAAGGGAATATTTGGAGTTTTTTAAAAAAGGAGATGTGAGTGGGAAGGGCTTGTTAATGGGTGGGGTTCTACACGCCTAACTGAGAGAGCTTTTACTGGGAGAATTGATTCTAGGTCAGATTTGTTATACTCTCAATCTAAATAATACATTTAAAGCCAAATAAAAGCTGATACACTGCTGGTCCCAGAAACATAATTTCCAACCTATTGTGCCTGTATCAAGCTCCAGAAAAAATAGATATTCATAAGTTTACTGTATTTTTCTTCTACCTTGGTCTGAAACAAATCTATCCAACAACATGTAAGATTTTTAATGAGACAGTTACAGTAATGTGGACATTACTCCCTCCTTTGCCATTGACAATTTTTTTAACTCTACTTTAGGATACATTCATGTAGAGGTGAGCCATGTTCCAGAAAATCCCTCTCTTTGTTGGTAGACACTCTGAAACATAACCACCTGGTCATTAAAATGTCTCACCCAGGGGTAAAGAAAAAATAATCAGTATACTGTATTGCTAAATTGTTTCAGGGATATATATAGTTTCTGCCAATATTGGCTCATTCCCATTCCATCATTTTTTTTCCAAGTCCTCTCAACACAACTCTCCTAAGAGGCAAAGAATCACTATTAATCATTTAATAAATTCACACAAAGACAGTAGCTGTGTCTATGTTCTAAAAAACACTGCAAGTGCAACAGGCATAGACTCAAGCTACTGTGTTTACATTGCCACTCATAGAGATGTACTAGAGCTCACTTGAAGGTAATGAACTAAAATGCAGCTTGCTGCTATAAACACAGCTGCATATCAACAGTGATCCAGGTATTTCCCTAACTTCTTGGGTTTTATCCACACATGGAATTGAGGTCAATGAACTGCAGTGGCACTACTAGCAATGCAAAATCTTCTGCTGTTGAATCTAGACTCTTTCAGGGTTGATGTATTATCAAATCGTTTGGTTTTAGGGCTGACAGACAGGAAATCCCAGTGACAAACCTGACCAGGTCCCTTAAGACACTTGGTTAGCCTAATTTGCAGTTGCACTGCTGCAGTGATACTTCATGGATATATGGAGTAGTCAAAGTAGGGGAAATTGAAACGTGGTAACACAACAAATCACTTTCCCACAATTGCACTGGACATCTGAGAATTTGCTTGTCAGGCCAATACCATGGTGTTTCTGGTCTGCAATGACATTTCCCTTAGCAATCAAGTTCAATTGTTTAATAGACATATTGAAAGAACTTCCAAGAAATCTCCAGTTGTTTTGTAAAATTTCTTTGTGAAATAGCAGTTATACTAGATTACTGTAAACTATTCCAGTATTAACATGCTTTCCAGATAGCCACTTACACACCACCTACTAATCTGATAAGGATCCTTTCCCTAGAAAAGAAATCCTGGATATTACTTTTGATGGTTCTTGAAACCTCAAGGCTTGAACACATGGTGACAACAGGATGTATTTACATATAAGTGCTGCATGGCGAAGTTTCCATACATTTCCACTTGACAACAATCAGTGGGTGACACACCAGGCTTAAGTCTATTTTTGCATATCTCTTTTTCTTCTAGAAAGAAGGACCTTCTGCAACACCTTAGCTCAAACTGTTGCCTGCTGGCCATGGCAGCTGCTGCAATAAGAAGCTTATCCAGCTCTTCACAAATGAGTTAATCAGCCCTAGAAGTGGAGGTGCTTTCCAGTGAAGATGCATACCATGGCAGTTTTCTGCTTGCAGTCAGCACAGCCACTTTGAGAAAACCTGTGTTTAAAATGGCATTTGAGACCCACCATGGGCACTTTTAAGCCTGCCTGCTGCTTTGGACACCTTGGGCAAGGGCAAAATCAAAACACTGCAGTCCAAGATACAGCTGCACGATGCCTGTACAGGGGACTTACTAGCCACCTGTGACCCACACAATCTTTGCACTCATCCTGCAGTGCTCTTTAATATTGCTTTAACAGCACTTTTTGACAGAAGCAGACAATCACTGAGCAGCTACACTGCCCCTTGGAAACTGAACTCTCCAGCCAGACAAAGCGCCTCCAAGATATCTGATAGCCTGTCACATCCAGACACAAGAACAGTCCAGAGTCTGAAATGCTCATGCTAAAATCAACTCTGTCCATCATAGCATCAAGAAGTCTCTGAAAGCTCTGTTCAGAGATATCTAGTGCCAAGACCCATGCGAAGCACACTGAATTTTCTTACTGGCCTCCAGTATGATGTTCTGTCTTTTAAATGTTCCCTTTGTGACCACCAGTGGGCCTGACCTGTCTGTGGCAGCTCATGTATGCTGCTGGTGACATGTTAAGTGTCGAGTATCACAATGCGAAGGGTTTCAACCAAGACCAAGAATGACTGTTTCACAACTTCCAAAATACCAGAGCTATTCAGAAATTTCCCATTTGTGATTAACTGTGGTGATCATCAAAGTGGGAGATCCTCTAGGCTTCGTGAGTTCTAATATGTGCTTGCAGGACATGCCTTTTCAATTATTTATATAGTAGACAGCTACATTGCAAATAAAATAACTGTAACTCACAACTGGGAGATTGCTTAACAGGAAAAAAGAGCAGCAATTCATTTACTTTCTCACTTCCCTTTGTCAAGTCATGCGAGTTTTTGCCAGTCACTGCTATCATTTTATTTCATATGATGTGCTCAGATAGCACAGCAATGGGAGCAATAGAAACAAGTTTCATATTTCATTCACAAGTAGGTGAATCACTAATCATTTGAATCACTGCTAAAAACGTCATGAAAGTTTTTAAGACTGTTTCTGGTACTTTTTCTGCTTCTTATTCAGTATTGAAGATGGGCACAACTGCTTTCTGAATTGGCTTCAATAGTCACAGCTCTGTTAAAATCCATGAAGCAATCACACTATTACTTCAAAAAGAACTAGATATCAGAAGAGCAATAAAAGAGGTAGATATATGCTGTGCTAGTTCAGAAAAAGTCCTGTCATCATCACTTTGCAAACACTGGTTATTGTAATTAAATCCAAATTTCCATCCTCAATACTACAGCTTGGTTAAAAAAGAAGGCTCATTGTGGCAACATATACACTCCCTGGCTCAGTAAAATGATGTTTTAACAGTTCTGAGATTAAATCAGGATTCTTGAATGTCAAAACACTGACGTATCAAAACTCCTATTAAGTTAGAAAAGAAAGTTCATATTGTGTTTTTGTATCACGTGCAAGCCAATTCAGAGAGAGGAAATGATGTTAGGATCTTCTGGCTAAAGATAAGATGCAGCCGGAAACGTAAAAGGAAGAAGAAAAATTATAAACCTTTTCCCTATGACTTGCTTTACGTTATACAGTGCAGTTCGGCAGTCCCTTTCCTTTTTATCTCTTTATATTTAGACAATTGGAAACGTGTTACAGACTCAGCCAAAGATATCACACAACAGGCTGAAAAGCTCATGTCTCATGGAAGGGCTTAGCCCAGTTGTTAATCACTTGTCAGGAAAGGCTTTAGCGTTTACATGGAATGTTGTCACAAAGTTCATTGACTTAAGAGACCAAATCGATATTTGTAAAGTTCAAATTTAAACATTCAGGATTAATTTTTTTAAAATGTATTTTTTTTTATAAAAGGAAGAAAGTGAAAACAAATTTGAGTAAAAACTTAGTATTTTACTCAGGGTGATGTAGTTGTTTTAGACTTACACTATTCAGATTTAAAGGAGAAATACGCATTGGAATTTTAAATAAAGATTTACTACAGCCAAATCCTATGAGACCTAATCTAAGTGTGGACATGGCCTTACTGTAGGATACATTCTCATCCTCTCGATAGGATACAGCCAGGCAGAGCTGCAGCTAAAGAAACATCCAATACAACTAGTGTCCTGCCTGATGGTAAGAAGTGCACAGGGAAGCTGGAACCCTTCTTTCTTGTTGGGTGCAAAGATGCCCCTGACTTCAGATCTAGTGCTGCAGGAAGAGCCTACTGGCATCCCACCAGCAACTGCAAAGTGGCTCAATTTCATGTTTCGCAAGGGGATAAAATCACCTTCTGTTCACAAAAAGAGAAAAGATCTTCCTCGAATGGAAGACTCTATGTACATATTTAAATAAAACACAGAATATAGACAGTGTATATATATATAAACCCACCATTTAGTATAATAAATAACAAATATAATATAATATCTAT